CAAGTCCTCTGCATCCGTCTGTGAATATGCAATTAAATGAACTATAACATTTGAAGTGCACCTCCATGACTTAACTCTACCATCTAAATAACACCACTGGTATCAATTTATTTCAAAATGTAAGTCAAAAGCTCAACTTCTCATAGAAGACCTGCTATGATTATTCAAATAGTATATTCAAGACTAGATATACAGTACAGTACATGTACCTGTATAATAATACTGAAGGCAACTAAATTGTAAGTCATAAATTATCATGAATCAAATATTAGATAAAATTAAGAACTGCCACTTGAAATGCACACAGCCTGAACATATTAAAGCAATGAAACTTAAATTTTATCCCTATGCTCAGTAAAGTTCAGAAGGGCTGTATTTTGTAACTTCAGTATTATACATGTATTAAAGGACATACCTATTCAGACACCTAAATGGTTAAAATACACCATAAAATCTTAAGGGTTAAAATATAGCAGTGGCTATTCAGCCATCACTGGTTGAATAGCATGGTTGTTTACACAGCCAAGACAGTTATATAAACAGCCAGGTTATTCAGCCATGAACCCACTGTGGTTACTCAACCAGTGACAGCTTATGGGTTCACGACTGAATAACCTGGCTGTCTAGATAACCATCTCGGCTGTGTATACTACTAGGCTATTCAACCGGTGACAACTGAATAGCCACTGCCTAAAATATACTATGAAATTTATTCAATACATTCAAAGAAATACATTGCTTCAAAATTTCATCAACTGTACAAATTTGATCATACATTAGAACCTTGATAAATCGGATAAATGGGGCAGACCCCAATCTGTAAAATGCAAAAGTCCCCAAAAAGCAAACACTAAGGTCTTTAAGCATATAGCAAGGTTATTAAAAGACTATTACACCAACAATAAAAATAATGAAACAGAACTCTCTTGGGTTGAAAATCAGACATAAGTCTGGTTGTCAACAACTGTGTTCACCGAGATTATTGTTATTTACTGCACTGCAAAGTGTTATATTTAAGTAACCACAGAATTTGTCTTATGAATAAAGAGAAAACTGTATACTGTACAGTACTATAAATATAAAAATAAAAACAAATAAGTGTAGGAGTATATTGTATGTGGAAGACAAGTGTACTGTATATTTGGGAGCAGCAGGCGGAGGGGAGGGAGGGGGGTGTGGGGGTGGGTCCCTACCCCTCTCCTCCCCAAGATCCCTTCAATACATCTTTAGGCAATTTCACCATAATTATAATATAATCCAGGTTCATTTGATGCAAGGTTGATAAAATATTATCCGAAAAGAATCAACTTTCCTGAAAAAAAGAACCCCACACTCATCACCATGAATCTTTGGTTTAAAAAGGCCAAACGGCTAATAGGCTTAGCTGCTCTCCACAACGTCTGTCATCAACACTTAGTAAATTAGTACAATAGACCCTTGCCTAGTGCCAGTGCTAGTGATGCTATTGGAGGAAACATAAAAGGCAGAAGTCAATAATGACCCTGACAAAGAAAGTTTAATTATTAGACAAGTTAAAGGAGGGGATGAGTGCTGCTGCGGCTGATCGGTTGTTTGGTGTGAACGAATCCATAGTGTGGTATATAAGGTGAATGAACAATCAATTTGTGATTTTGTTGAAGCAAGTGCTCCTGCAAGTGCTAAAGTGGAGAAAAGGTTGTTCATGACAGGAACTTAGTAAAAACAGAAAAAGCAGTGAACATTTGGATTGAGGACCAGCACCACAAAAATGTTCCGATCGACAGCAACGTGATTCATGAGACGGCTAAGAGTCTTCATGCCCATTTTTACAAGTCAACAAGTGGTGAAGGGGCTAGTGCGGCTGCTGAACCAACTTTTAGTGCCAGTAAAGGTGGTTCGAGAATTTTAAGAATATTCTCTCTCCATAATGTGAAGCTGACTGGGGAAGGCGCATTAGCTGACCACACAGCCGCAGATACAATTTCGCAAAGTTAAAGAAAATACAGTAATAGAAGAGAAAGGCTGTAGACCAGAGCAAGTGTTTAATGCTGATGAATCCAGTCTATATTGGAAAAAGATACCTGGTAGAAAATACAAAAACAAGCAGGAGCAGCGTGCCTCTGGGTATAAGCAGCCAAGGACAGAGTGACGCTCATCTTCTGTGGCAGTGCAGCTGGCCACATGATCAAACCTGGCTGGCTTTACCACTCAGCACGAACCCTTTGCCAGTTTTTTGGCAGTCAAACAAAAAGGTATGGGTAACTGTGTAAGCATTCCTTGATTGGTTCCATAAATGCTTCGTCCCAGAAATGGAAAAGAAAGTACTTTGCTTCCAAGAAGATAGAATTCAAGGTGCTAATATTGATAGATAAACAGATAATGCACCAGGCCACCCAGAAAGTTTGCAGTTTAGCCATCCAGGTATAGAGGTGGTATTCCTACCCCCTAGCACCACTGCTCATATTCAGCCTCACGATCAAGATGTAATACGCACCTTCAAGGCATAATACACCCGACGCTCTTTTGGTTGTATCCGTAGTGCCATGGATGCAGACCCTGACCTTGATACTAGCAAGTGTTGGAAGGAATACAGCATTGTGGACAGCATTACCAACATCAGTGAAGCATTCAATGAACTCAAACCAGAGATAGTGAATGCTTGGTGACAAACCTTATGGCCTGAGTGTGTGAATACCTTTCAGGGATTTCCGTCCAAAGTAATGTATGTTAATGACATTGTGAGTGTTGCATGTCAACTGGGTGGTGAGGGGTTTGTGAACATGGCTGCTGAAGACATAGAAGAGATGATTGATGAGCATGGAGAGGAACTGACAGAAGAGAATTTGGAAAAGTTGGTAAAAGATGCTGAGGAACATGAGGCAGAAAAAATTATGGAATTGCAACAAGAAGGTTGGCGCTTGAACAATTAGGGTGAACTATTTCGACATGTGAAGGTGGTAACTGATTGTATTGTTGACCACGACCCTTCCATGTAATGGAGCCTTAAAATGGTCCGAGAAATCAACCAGGTATTGTTTCCCTACCAGGAAATATTTCAAGACCTCAAAGCCAAGAATAAACAATCAATCACAGTGTTTTTCAAGAAAGAACCAGCCGCTTGCCCAGCCGATTTGTCTCCCGCCCTCACTCAGTCAGCTGCTACCGTCACCGCTCCACCCTCCTCCTCCCGGCGGCACACCTCTCCACCACCCGCCGCTCCACCTTCCTCCTCCCGGCAGTGCACCTCTCCACCACCTGCCTCTCCAGCAACCACCACTACATCACCCTCTTCCAACAGTGATCCTGATGATCGCCCTATGCTTCAGTAATCAGATGTCTCCCTATGAACAGTACACCACTTCATTAAGCTCCAAACTTCCACATATGAATGTATTGGTAACTTAAGTTTCTCATACATAGTACTGTATAGGCAAACAGTAGTGCACCCAGGTAGCATAAGTTGCTATTCGCAGTTTTGCCAATTCGAGCCATTCCTTGGAACCTAACCCTCACGAATAGCAAGGGTTTACTGTACAGTACAGTAGTGTATTTATCATCAATTAAAAAGTAATATTGTAGTGTACAGTACTATGCATTTGCATATACCCTGGTTTATTCATTAAGCAGTTGTTAAGTGTACAAGTAGCCAAATTGAGCCATTACTTATCATTCAAAGGTAGTAAATAACGTTGCTGGAAAGGTCTCTTCATATCAAATACTATACAGTGTGTTATAGTGACCCTGTTGTAAGCTGGTTTAATGAAAGATCTCACATGAACACATCCTGAGTGAATACCTTCCGATACAGTTTATCCTTTTACAGGAATTTTCAAATCATATTACAAATTACATATTGTATTTTTCCTCTATTCTTGAAGATGTTATATTAATCACGATGAACCATAAATCATAAGAGGCCAATCATATGAGGATATATTACTGAATCTATTAATAAATAAACCTGAGTAATGCAGCAACACCTGATCAGCCCCAGCCTGCTTACATACTCAGTGTCTTAGTTCTTGGTAGGCCTATAGCAAATCTGAATAGACCACTGTACAGTATTCAGTGAATGAGTGTTGTTCTTTTCATAAGATTGCTTTATAATCTTCCCCATTTCTTAAACTATGTACTGTACAGTACTGTAATTTTTTTTAAGTATTTTCAGTGACCAGAGCACCTCAGAGTCTGAAAAAAGCGAATTCCGATATATTTAAGTTCAATTTATTAAGGTTTTACTGTGCATAAAAACATATGATCTGAGAGAACTTCAGGTTCTACAATCCCAAAAAGATTGTCTGCATTAAAAATAAATAAATAAATAAATAAATAAATACAAATCCTTATGAATTAAACTATTTTGTACCAAACCCTGAAAATCATCTGACTGACACTCTTGAATAAGTTTAATTTGAATGGAGAATAATGAATAAAAAACACAAGGGTTGGGGGCTATGGGCACTGTTCACCTAATTCATACTGTATAGGTATCCTAACATGTTTGTTTAATATTCGTACCTCACTAGTGGTAGCCCGTTCACACGCAGAAGTCCTAATGTAGTCCCCTTCACTAGTGCGTTTACAAAAGCTCGTCATATAAACGTCATTGTTTAATTTGTTTCCATAGTATGCTTACTATAGCGAATTTTTTTCAAATGTAAACAAGACAGCACTGCCACACTGTACAAAATCTGACGAGCCCCTGTAAGCGCACTATTGAATGGGACTGTATAATAAATGCAAAGAAATGATGAGAGCTATACACATCCTTTTTTTTTTTTTTTTTTTAAGGGAATTAGCCCACCCGGGCACAGGGCAAACGACCCACAATGGAGCCTGGGGGCGAAAAAAAAAAGAACGGAAAGGAATTGAAAATATAGAAAAAAAGGTTATACTGTATTAATCACCACGAAGATGCCGGAAAACCAGCTTTTTAAAGTGAGACAGATTGTAAGAGCATGGAAACACAGCAGAAGGCAGAGCATTCCACAGTTTGGCTGTGTGAGGAAAGAAGGAGGTACTATAACGGGTTATTCTCGTGTGACCGACATCCACAGAGAAATGGTGGGCACCGCGGGCAAGACGTGTGTTACGTACCCACGGCCTTGCCGGCGGTACACAGGATGCCAAATCCACTGAACATTGCCTGTTAAAGTACCTGTAAGAGAGAGAGAGTGAAGCAACATTGCGGCGAAGAGAAAGGGGAGAGAGACTGTCGACTAAAGGAGGAGAGTTAATAAGACGAAATGCCTTTGATTCCACCCTATCTAATAGTTGGACAGAAGAAGAGCCACCCCAGATATGAGAGCAGTACTCCAAGTTAGGACGAATGAATCCCTTATATACTTGGAGCAACTGCTCAGGAGTGAAGTAGCTGCGGCATCTGTACAGCATTCCCAACTTTCGGGAGGCAGCTTTAGTTATACTAAGGATGTGTGATTTCCAGGACATATTGGAGGAAATGGTGAGGCCTAACATATTTATTTCAGAATTTGGGAGGATGATAGTGTCCTGAAATGTAATTGGTGGGAGATCGTCTAATTTACAAAGTGTAATTGGTAAATATTGAGTTTTACTATTGAACTTAACCAAGTTTGTATCTCCCCATTCAGAGATGCTGCACAGATCCGCATTGAGAGAAGTAATGATATCAGTTCTAGAAACAGATCTAGTTTGAGAGTTAGGAGGAAGGGGAAAATGTGAGGAAGAGTGAAGAGTAGAATCATCGGCGTAAGAATGGATAGAATTAGTTGTAGTGTGAAGTAAATCATTGATAAAAAGAAGGAAGAGAGTTGGTGAAAGAACAGAACCCTGTGGGACGCCACTATTGGTAGAGAAAGAGCGAGAAATCGATCCCTCGACAACAACTGCCATGGATCGATTCTCAAGGAAGCTTGAGATGAGAGAACAAGGTGGGGGAGAGAAACCAAAAGAGGGAAGTTTAGATAGCAAAGACTTAACAAATCCATATTGAGTTGCCATGGTAGCTACTAAATTTACATATTCGAGAAAGCAACTTAAAAGAAAAACTTTACGACTTTAATAATTTCAAGGCTCCAAGACATGAACATAAGGATTAAGTCACCTAGTTCAATCTTTTGGCTGCTGGACAACCTTGAAACTAAAGTTTTAGAAAGCACTGGTGTTTGGTAAGCTGAAACTGGGCACTTAACAGTACAGTACATGTTCTGTAAAAAATTTATCCCTTAAGGCATAACAGGTCTAACCAAGGATTTGAAAAAATTACACTGGCATTATTACACCACTTACAGATAAAGTTGTGAGAAAACCAGCACAGTACTGTAAATATTTTTTCAATAAAATCTGAGGAATGTTATATTAGATCGGCAATTTAGTATAGCAGTAAACCACTCCTATTCCTTGTACCACATAAGGAACATCACACATACATATAGTATGTACAAAATATATTTTCTTTAATAAATATAATCTTTTTGATATCAAGATCAAAAAGTCTGAAAAAATAGATACCAGTATATTGCAATTCCCATAATACACTGATGATATTTTTTCTCTAGTGGTTCAATCTAAAATACAATAGTTGTTTCATGCATGCTTACATTGAGGTTGTGATAGTCTCCTGTCTCATCTGGGGGCCGAGGTTTGCACTTTCCACAGCAGAAGTTGCAGCAGCAACAGAAACAGCAACATAAGTAGCAGCCTGTTATTAGGCCACAGAAGAGGAATAGTGCCTGCAAAATACAAATGATAATCTAAGATACACATAGGATACAGGCAAACGATGGGTAATAACTTATCAGTAATGTCAATTTCAGATTAAACAATTAATCACAACTTATTAATACTGTACAGTGATATCTCTGTTAGCCGGAACAATTGGTACAGAGCAATTCCGGGTAACAAGACGACTCTCAAAGCCGGAAAAAAATCCCTCATCCCGGGAATTTTCTGGGTAACAGAAAAATTTTCTCGGAAGTTCCAGAAATTGCCCATCACATCATTTCTTGAACCTGGAAAAATATCCCTCATCCCCGGAATTTTCCGGGTAACGGAAAAATTTTTCTTGGAATTTCCAGAAAATGCGCTTGATTTTCATTTCTCAAACCCGGAAAAAAATCCCCCATCCCCGGATTTCTCCGGGTATCGGGACAATTTTCTCAGAATTTTCCGGAAAATGTGCCCCTCGGAAAATCGTTCCCAAAGCCAGGATTTTGCGGAAAAGTCGGGCTTTGGGAACGATTTTCCGAGAAAATTTCAATTCCATCTATCGGAGAGTTCCTGGTTTGAGGGATTCCGGCTAATGGAGATATTACTGTATAGTGCATTTTTCCCAGCTGAGAAGAGATGCCCCGCCCCCTCCTCAAGAGTTACAGCTGATTGGCTGTTGCAAATCTGTTCGATTTCGTCCTCAAGTAATGATATATTTCTAAATAAGTTTATTCATAATCATTGGGATGACCGTTTCTGACGAGAAAGTTATTTAGCTAAATTAAATAAAGATACATACATTCATTACAGTGGAGTCTGGATTTACGCGGTTTTGGTTAACGCGTTTGGTCATTTACGCGGTGCCTTGCCAGAATCGAAATGCTTTAATTATGCAGTAAATTTGGTCATTTACGCGGGTGAAGTATAATTTGTTTACTGTATATAGTGAAGATATTTGTTTTAGCTCATAAAATTCATACAAATTACCCAGCCAGAATATAATTTACATTGCTGGAATTCTTGTAAGATTGTGATTATTTTAACTATAAACATCAATAAATTTGCATTAGACATACAAATTTTAGACCTAATTTAAGAATTTTGATTAGAAAGAGCAAAATATATGACATTTATATTCAAAATATTCCTTGTCTTGCAAGGAATCCACCAATGTCAATTATAATATCCTAACTTTAGTCTGAGGTATTATTTATTACTAAAAATGTAAGCCTACTGTTTCCACCCAAACATTTCTCGGGTAGGGAGGGAGGGAGGGAGGGACCCAGCGAGCGTGGAAAGAGGGGGGGGAGTAGGAGGTGGGGTATTTTGATTGACAGATAATGTCTGGGTGTATAATTTGTTTATTTACTTAAGATATTTGTTTTAGCTCATAAAATTCATACAAATTACCCGGCCAGAATATAATTTACATTGCTGGAATTCTTATAAGATTGTGATTATTTTAAATATAAACATCATAAAATTTGCATTAGACATACAAATTTTAGACCTAATTTAAGAATTTTGATTAGAAAGAGCAAAAATTTTATCTTTTGTGCAAAATATATGACATCTATATTCAAAATATTCCTTGTCTTGCAAGGAATCCAGCTATGTCAATTATATTATCCTAACTTTAGTCTGAGGTATTATTTATTACTAAAAATATAAGCCTACTGTTTTCACCCAAACATTTCTCAGAGAGGGAGGAGCCAGTGAGATTGGGAAGAGTGGGGGGGGGGTTGAGTCCATTATTTGAATTGACATTAAACGGCGACTGTATTTCTCTTAAATATTAATTGTGTGTGCATACCATCATAAAATTAAGATGTTATTTTTACTTCAACGTAGGTATTGTGTCGGAAAAAGTGGAGTTTGGGGGTTGGCCCAGTCTCTATTTCAATTAATCTCATATGTTCTGTTATTTCATTTACGCGTTTCTGGTTTTATGCGGGCCTCCAAGGGTTCAATTGACCGCGTAAATGCAGACTCCACTGTATTTCAAGCACGAGTTTATCAGAATTAATTGTTAAACTCTGGTAGCAAATTCACGCTTTCGGAGGACGCATTTAATATATACTTATTTTTATCCGCAATAAGGCATACCAAGACAAATTACATATCAGTAATCCTACATTATGCAAAATCCAACATTTTAAAAGATCAAAATCACATAGAAATACTACACGGTCGTCAGCAGAGACAGGAAATATAACTGTGAACAACTTCATGTTTCCCGCCTCTGCTGACAGCAGTGTAGTATTTCAATGTGATTCTAATCTTTTAAAATGTTGGATTTTGCATAATGTAGTATTACTGATACATAATTTGTCTTAGTATGCCTTATTGTGGATAAAAATAAGTATACAGTGGTCCCTCCCATAAGGATTTTCAGTTCAATTAACGAACAAAACTTCAATTTACGAAATCCTTACTACAAAGACGTTTTGTTGTGCGCATCAGCTAATCGGCTAGTCCGCCAACACAGTAATTGGTTCTATGTTTATACCATCGTTTCCAGTGAAGTAAATATCAAGAAAGTTGGTATCTTGAATATTTCTGCATTTTTTATATTAAAATTATTGGTCATTCTGAAATTTAGTTAACATATTGATAATATAGACAGTACAGGGAACAGTTTTTGTGTGCCCATCAACTGATTGAATCGCCCAACAATGCTTCTCAGTTTAACTTTGTTTACAGTGGAGTGAACATCGATTTTGTTGGTCTTGAATAGTTTTGCATTTTTATATTAAAATTATTGGTCACTCTGAAATTTAGTTAACATATTGATAATATACAGTGCAGAAATTATTATGAAACATGAAGAAGGCATTAGAACCAATGCACTCTGTAAAGAATATGGCATGTCATCATCGACTGCCTCTACAATCAGCTGTTTGATATGTAAACAAAGCTGCCGGGAATACGACATACACACCTCAAAGTAAGTTAAAATACAGTATTCCATGTTTTTTATTTATTATTATACAGTATATTGTACAGTACAGCACTATATTTAGTTTTATTTAATGTTTTGTTAATTCTATTACTGCTATACAGTACTTTATATGTATGCTTTTTCAGTGAGTTGGAACCAATTACCCAATATCCCATTGAAATACTGTAATGATTCGGTTAACTAAATTTATGGTTAACGAACAACTCTGTGGAACGAATTGTGTTCGTTAACCGAGGGACCAATGTACTGCTCCTCCCCGACTTACGGCGGGGTTAGGGACCCAAATCCAGGTCGTAAGTCGAAATGGTCGTAAGTAGAAAATGCTTAAATACATAAAAAATCTAAAATGGGTGTCTCTTTTTCTTCTCAGCACCACAAAACACTCACTTTTAAGCTTGTCAGCCATTTTAAAGTGAATTACAAACTAAATTTTTCTCTGTGTACTGATGTTGGGACTCGAAAATACGTAATTTGACAAAATTTTGGTACGACTGAGGCAGGTCGTAAGTGTTAGTGGTATGTCGAGTAGGTCGTAAGTCGGGGAGGAGCTGTATTGTACAGTAGTACCCCGCTTAACGTGTTAAGCGGTCAATTGAACCCACAGGGTACCGTGTTAAGTGAAAACTGCATTAAGTGAACAACAGAACATATGGGATTAATTCCAATAGAGACTGGCCAGACCCCCAAACTCTACTTTTTCCGACACAATACCTATGTTCTAGTAAAAATAACATCTTAATTTTATGATGGTACATGCACACAATTAATACTTAAGAGAAATACAGTCGCCAAGTTAATGTCCATTCAAATAATGGATTCAACTCCCTCCCCCTCTTCTCACACTACACTCGATGGCTCTTCCCTCTGAGAAATTTTTGGGGGAAAACCACTAAATTTTAATAAATAATACCTCAAACTAAAGTTAGGATAATATAATTGACATTACTGGATTCCTTGTAAGACCAGGAATATTTTGAATATAAATGTCATATATTTTGCACAAAAGATAACATATTTACTCAGAGTAAACATTATATCTAAAATTTGTATGTCTAATGCAAAATCTATGATGTTTATATTCAAAATGATCATCAAATTGTAAGAATTCCAGCAATGTAAATTATATTCTGACCTGGTAATTTGTATGAATTTTATGAGCTAAAACAAATATCTTCAGTTAATAAAAAAAAAAATATTCTTCACACTGTAACAGATGGTCGGTCGGTCCCTCCCTCCCCCCCACCTCCCACCAACCCTCCCTACCAGAAGTGTGGGAAAACCAGAATATTTACCTTTTTAGTAATAAATAATACCTCAAACTAAAGTTAGGATAATATAATTGACATTGCTGGATTCCTTGTAAGACCAGGAATATTTTGAATACAAATGTCATATATTTTGCACAAAAAATAACATATTTACTCAGAGTAAACATTATATCTAAAATTTGTGTCTAATGCAAAATCTATGATGTTTATATTCAAAATGATCATCATATTGTAAGAATTCCAGCAATGTAAATTATATTCTGGCCTGGTAATTTGTATGAATTTTATGAGCTAAAACAGGCAGGCAGGCAGGCAGGCGGTGGCGGGTGGGGCGAATCTAAAAATAGCGACTCGAGCCAGACACTCTGCGCATATACGTGGAAAAAACCTGTGTTAAGTGAAAGTTCGGCTCTGGCAAGGCACCGCGTATACGTGAAATCGCGCTAAGCGAAACCGCGTTAAGCGGGGTATTACTGTATATTAAATGAGTCCTCCGAAAGCGTGAATTTGCTACCAGAGTTTAACAGTTAATTCATGTACAGGTACTCCTCGACTTGCGGCATACTCGACTTACGACAACCCGGACATACAACCGCCGTGGTCATATAAAATATTTTTCAAATTACCTATTTCCTAGTACCAAAGTTAGTGATCGTGCTGTGTACTGACAAAATTTTCGTTTGTAATTCCCTTTAAAATGGCTGGCAAGCGTAAAAGTGAGAGTTTTCGTGGTGCTGAGAAGAAAAAGAGACACCCATTTTAGAATTTCTATGCATTATTTTCGCATTACGACCTGGTCGTCGGGACGGAACCCTGTCGTAAGTCGAAGAGAGACTGTACAAGATTTCTGATAAACTTCTTCGGTGCTCATGTTTGAAATAATGAATGTATGTATCTTTATATAATTTCGCTAAATATCTTTCTCGTCAGAAACGGTCATCTCAACGATTATTAATAAACTCATTTAGAAATACATCATTACTTGAGGATGAAATCGAACAGATTTGCAACAGGCAATCAGCTGAAACTCTTGAGGAGGGGGCGGGGCATCTCTTCTCAGCTGGGAAAAAATGCACTATAGTGTCAATTTCAGCAACACCATTTTATTACCAAATACTGTACTAACATTACTGAACATAAAAATACATATCCGTGCTTACCTTACACCATCCCGAGTTTACAAGGAAGTATGTGTTAACGTTTTCTTCACCAAACTGTTCAGCAATATATAATCCAAGTGAACCATAATTGTCATAGATGTTCCTCTTGGTGGGGTCACTGAGAATTCCATGGGCATGATTAACTTCCTTAAACTGGGAAAAAAACAATAACTTTAGGTAATGGCAAAAATAAGCTTAAAATGCACTACAGTTTAGGAATATACAATACAGTACTTAGCTGCATAACAAGAAAATGTAGCAATTCATATTTATTTTCTATTAGAAAATGAACTGAAGCATGAGACACTAAAGGCCTACAACTGTCTTTAATGGACAGTATGTCCAGTTAACATCAACATGATAAAAGAAAGGAAGGGTTTAAACTGCAGTGGGTCTAATGCTGATGGGATTTATGCTCCACAAAAGGGAGTTCTACGTAGTTTATTAACAGCTATGACTGAATTGTACTATGAAACAGAAAATGGCTGGAACATAATAAACATAACTGGAAAAACTTTAAAGTTAAAATGATATACTTAAAGATCTCCTTATTACAGCACCTCTACCATGACTGAATAAACTTTTCTGTTAGAAACAAGTGGAACTTCAAAAGGTCTGATGTTTTTCACCATGCTGTCCTACATAATACTGTAAAGTGAAGTACTGCACTGGTTAATGACCTAATGCAACTATGTGGTTATTGACAATGTAGAGAATTTCTTAGCTCTTATCTTAGTATCTGTAACTTTTGATTTTCAATAAAGCCTGAACAAGGATTAAACCATTCTAAAGGGGCAAAGCAATAAAAAGATGTGGTAAGCGACTTGCTCTTGCTGACGCACAAAGCCCATACAGTAGAAATACTTCGCCATTTGCAATTACTGTAATATTTTAATACCCCTATTTAATATTAGCATAGCATACCCACTTATTCGCAAAGAAATACAGTCATGCTTCGGTTAACGTCCAACCAAACAACGTCCGATCGCATATACATCAGTGCCCCCCCCCCAACCACTTCCGTGACGCCTGCTGGACCACCACTCCACGACCCCCTGACGGAGACACGATGATCCTCCCCATACTGGCCAGATATTATGTGTTAAAGGAATATCCTTCCTTCCTTAGGCTTTAGTAAGCATTTGCCTCCAGGTGTAATGTTAACCTACATCTATTGAGGATAAAATCTTTCATCTACAAATTGACAATAACACATTTGCTGTAATCAGACATATCTAGTTGCCTCAACAATAACCCCAGTTGCAATTGGAGTTGCAATTTCAAATTCTGTGTCATTACTAAGGAATAACGAAGTCTCTGGTGCACTCTAAGATCGAGAGAAAACAGAGGACTCAGGCGTCCTGAAGCGAGAGAAAACGGACTCCTATGACGGGGCACTCAAATAGAGAAAGCATAGCTACATGTTTTGTGGACTACCCACCGTACAGTATTGAGCATACCCTTTTCATCACTTTGTAATAAACCTAGTCATGCCTATGTGTGTTTCTGATAATTACCATATTATATCTCTAGTGGGTCTGAATGAAAGCGGTTGTACAAACACAAGCACTCACACATGCCACTCAGACTGACAGACTTGACAAGTTTTACCAACCATAAAGACAGTTGAAGCTTTAAACATCACTCACAATGGATCTTGAATATTCCAACTGTAATCAGACATATCTAAGTTGCCTCAACAATTGTAGCCCCAGTTGCAATATCAAATTCTGTGTCATTACTAAGGAATAACGAAGTCTCAGGTGCACTCTAAGATTGAGAGAAAATGGAGGACTCAGGCGTCCTGAAGTGAGAGAAAACGGACTCGTATGATGGGGGACCAAATTAAAAAAGCAGAGCTACATGTTTTGTGGACTACAGAATTGAGCGTACCATTTTCATCACTTTGTAGTAAACCTAGACATGCCTATGTGTGTTTATGATATTTACCATAACATTATATATATATTTAGTGGGTCTAAATGGTCGTAAAATGGGAACTTGGAGTTGGGTCTTGGGAGTCTGGAACCAATTAGAATAAATCCCATAGGTTCTGAACTTTCGTTATCGCGTTTTTGTGATGATCGGACAACGTCCATTTCGGTTAACGTCACGTTTCCAAGAACATATCTAGGACGTTAACCGGCGCATGACTATATTATGATATGCTGCAATAATAATTCAAACCATGCTGGCTAGCTGCAGCTCTCATATTCCACTGTCAAAAGTAGTGCGAGGTGGTATAACTTGCACGAGCACGCTGCACAGTGACATTTTTTTTGTGTGTATTCATACGAAGGCCACACGTGCATCTGTTTTGATCTGTTGTGTTGTGGTAGTGTACTGTATCGCAAGAATTATTCAAAATGCCTCCCAAGCACCTTTTTTTCCGCTTCTGCTGCCTTATGTGACCTTGGACGTTAAATTGGACAACATAAAGTGGCGATGACCCTTTACCCTCTCCTCTCTTTATACCAGCTGCAGTATGCCATCAACACTCACAGCAAAGGTAAATGCTAGTTTAAATGTTTACATTCATTCATAAATGTCGTACACACACACATTCACGTATGCATGCACACTCACAAAGTGTTCTTTTGATTTTTTTTTTTTTCGTACAGGTATTGCAGTTACTGTACAGTTTTTCATTGCAGTATACTGTAATGAGTTTATCTCTATACAAAAAAATGTGTGATGGAAATTGTCAGCTGGGAAAGCACCCCCACCCCTATTTAAATTAATTCTTATGGGAAAATTGCCCTGATATTTGCAAGTTTGTTATTGGTAATGATTTTAAGACCACTTCCTTTGTGATATCTGGGGTATTCCTGTACTGTACTCTGTGTGTGTGTGTGTAATTACCCTTCCAAAACTTTTTTGGCAAGACCAAGGACGGGGTCTATATATACAGTACAGTACTGTATACATATACAGTACAGGGAGAAATTAAAAAATAAATACAGTACTGTAACCTGTAAAATAAAATCATCAAAACAATATAACAGTTTTGTTAATCCCACAATTTAACAACAGATATTACAGCAGTAGCAACAGTTGAAGGCACGTAGAGGAAAAGTTGCACAAACAAGAGTGGTTATATAGAATGATGAATTAATATGAGGTGATGTATGAGATCCTGACCAAACAGTTGCAAACCTATACAAGGAACAGTAAAAGGCACTGCATGGCAATTACAAGATTTGGTTAAATGTTCAAAAGATAACTTACTGTATATTCTTCACCTATGGTTCCTTTAGGTAAAATTTTCTATCATCATAAACCTCACCTTTTCTGCAGCATCAGGATTATCTGGGTTTTTGTCTGGATGATACTTGAGTGCCAACTTGCGATAAGTTTTCTTGATCTGTTCTGTAGTGGCATCCTTCTGTATGCCCAGTGTCTCGTAGAGAGAGTCACCCGTCGTCCTGAGTGGAGAAAACACATTCTAATAATAACCATGTACAGTAGAGGTACAGACCCTCAAAACAGGATTCCAGAAAACCATAAAACTAGACATTTTCTTCCCTGGCTACAAATTTTGCTTCCACACACACACATACTCAGTTGAATGTTTGTATTCCATCTTAAATAACAAAAAATAAGTAAAGGTAATTGTATGTACAGTCGGGGTCAAAAGTTCACTCCCTCCCAAAATGAAGCAGTGTCGACCCCAAATGAGATGAACCAGCACAACGAGAGCCAGGGTAAGTATGTTCAGAGACTCATTCCCATGACTCAGTTTCATCACGGGGAGAGACCTTTTGTCCGCGACTGTACACTATAATTTTAATAACTAAAATAAACAAATAGTTTATTCAGAAGTTGAGAATTCTCTAAAAGTGAATTGCAACATCTGCCAGAGGTAGTGAATTAAAAAAATTATTGTTGGATTGAAAAAAATAGTCCTATACAGCGCCTTGATAATTTTTATTAATATTTATTCACATTAAAATATATTAATATTTTTTCATATAGAATTTTGACATTAATATTTGAGGTAACTTTTGCCATACACTATTTCCTACACAAATATATAATGTAAACTGCTACCGGGTATTCTCTTTACAAATCAATACTGACCCTTTAAGTTCTAAGTAGTATCATGAACATACGTCTATGACTGTTAATCTCAACCTAACCACATATGTTATCTATACTTATGGTAAAAGCAAATATCATTTTCATGTTTACCAGAATTTTCAACTATACAGTATTTCTCGTAGCAGTTCAAACTGTTTCGTTATGGCAAGTGATAAATACAGTGGTCCCTCGGTTAACAAAAGGTTCGATTAACAAAATTTCGGTTAACTAATTAGCTCCCATAAGGTTTTCCAGTTCGATTAATGAGCAAAACTTCGAGTAACGAAATCCTTACAACAAACACGTTTTGTTGTGCGCATCAGCTAATCGGCTAGTCCGTCCAACACAGTAATTGGTTCTATGTTTATACTATCGTTTCTAGTGAAGTAAATATCAAGAAAGTTGGTCTCTTGAATATTTCTGCATTTTTTTTATTAAAATTATTGGTCATTCTGAAATTTAGTTAACATAATATAGACAGTACAGGGAACAGTTTTTGTGCACCCATCAGCTGATTGAATGAACCAACAACGCTTCTCAGTTTAACTTTGTTTATAGTGGTGTGAACATCGATTTTGTTGGTCTCTTTTGCATTTTCACATAAAAATTATTGGTCATTCTGAAACTTAGTTAACATATTGATAATATACAGTGCAGAAATTATTATGAAACATGAAGAAGGCATTTGAACCAATGCACTCTGTAAAGAATATGGCATGTCATCATCGACTGCCTCTACAATCAGCTGTTTGATATGTAAACAAAGCAGCCGAGAATACGACATACACACCTCAAAGTAAGTTATAATACAGTATTCTATTGTTTTTTATTTATTATTGTACAGTATTCTGTACAGTACAGTACTGTACTGTATTTAGTTTATATTTAATGTTTTGTTAATTCTATTACTAATATACAGTACTTTGTATGTACTTTTTCTGTGAGTTGGAACCAATTACCCAATATCCCATTGAAATAACAGATTCGGTTAACGAAATTTTTGGTTAATTAAGGACTCTGTTACGAATTGTGTCCATTAACCGAGGGACCACTGTACAGCTCCTCCCCGACTTACGACGGGGTTTGGGACCCAAATCCAGGTCGTAAGTCGAAATGGTCGTGTCGAAAATGCTTAAATACCGGGTAATACATAGAAAATCTAAAATGGGCCTCTTTTTCTTCTCAGCACCACAAAACTCTCACTTTAAGCATGCCAGCCATTTTAAAGTGAATTACAAACGAAAATTTTGTCTGTGTATTGACGTTGGGACTCGAAAATACGTAATTTGACAAAATTTTGGTAAGACTGAGGCAGGTCGTAAGTGCGGGTGGTCGTAAGTCGAGTAGGCCGTAAGTCGGGGAGGAGCTGTATTTGTTTTGTACCCCAAGCACTTTTTACATCAGTTAGCTACTGGTCTTTTGAAAGACAATATGATGATAGCCAAGTGGATAATATTATGAAAAATAAGGTACAGATAAGGAGTACTATAAATAGACCATACACAACCAGAAGATTGCAGTTACCATACTTGAGTAACCAAAGATGGTAGCAAGTCAATAAATTATTCCAGAATTCTTCCTGGTTTTCTCGATGAATTCTCGATTTATAAAAGATTGGATTTGAATAAGGAAACAGACATTTTTTATAAATGTCTGATTATTGAGGTTACACCTGTAAATATTGTACGACGTACATTTAATCATTTATATGTACAGTGTACACATAAACTTGCTCAATATGTAAATTTTAAAATAAACCGGCATATTATGAATATTCGTATTTTTTGCCAAAAGGATAAAACTTCAATTGACTTGAGCTACCTCTAAATATTGTCCAAATGACCCAGGATTTCGCCTGTGTTCTTTTTTCATGGGTACGCAGTATTGGACCAATGGCCATTCCATTTAATCAATTTTAGAAATTCACCCCTATGCACTATTGTCACCCTACTGTACGTGTAATATCAAAATTACTTTCAGCTGTGCTTGCCTAGCTTTACACAGGCACAGTAATCCTCTTGTATTAGTACAGTAGGGTCGGGATATATTGATAGATAGGGTCCAACGATGTTCGCTATATACTAAATCGCTATACTGTATATAATTACACGTAATCAATGGGGAAAAATAGGGTTAGATTCTGGAGGCCCAAAAAGTGACCAAACTTGACTTAACGACTTCATTTTCTTACTAACTAAAGCACCAATGAACACTAGACTCAGGAACAACAGGCTATTTCAATATCAATAACAAGGAACACCAGACTCAGGAACACTAGACTCGGCAGCTGACGCATCATCCTGGGAACACCAAACTCGGCAGTAGACGCCACACTGCCACCCTCACTTGACAATCCCACACCTACATAAACGAACACCAAAAATATTAGTTCCAGTATTAAATATTTTCTATTAAGCTTTCCATTTTCTTCGCTTCACTTTTCATGTCACGAGCAACCCATTTACACTCGCTTTAGAAATTGGAATCTGCAGCAGCTGACGCGCCATCCCGACAACAACAGATGACACACTGCCACCCTCACTTAACAATCATAAACAAACAAACAAACAAAAAATATTAGTTACAGTATTAAATATTTTCTATTAAGCTTTCCATTCACTTCACTTTTCAGGTCACTAGCAACCCATTTACACTCACCTTAGAAGTCGTAATCTGCAGCAGTCGGCTGCTTTCTCGTCACTCACTCAGAAAGACTGAGCGGGTGAGCGTGAGTGAGCAGCCACGGTGGCACCTCTGGTGAGCAAATAACGCTTTGTTTGCCATGGCGGTACATTTGAAATATTTCCTGCCCGATTTCCCTCGCGAAATAAAAAAAATTATCACTACGTATACAGTATATAGGAAAATGTCAATAATTTTGGTAGCCGTAATATAAAAAAATCATTACAAAGATCTCTCGGTTAACGAGCGCTTCGGTTAACGAATTACCTTCCATAAGACTCTTAACTTCAGTTAATGAGCATTCCCTCGATTAACGAATTCCTTACTAGCGGCACCCAACATGTTTTCGCTTGCACACCAGCTGTCGTATCATTCCGCCACTACAGTAATCGGTTCTAGGGCTTAAATTCCTTACCATTTTAGTAAATATCAAGAAGGTTGTACTATTCAATCATTTTAAAAGTTTTATATTAAAATTTTTAGTCATTTTAACAATTATTGAACATAATTGAAGGACAGGAAACTAGTTTTATGCTCGCCAAACAGCCTGTCAACACACCAAACAGGCTTCAGTCTGTGTCTTTTCAGTGGAGGTAACATCTTGCTTCAGACTCTCTTCAACATAAATGCTTTTTTTCTGTGTTTTCAGTCAAATTATTGATCATTTTGACATTTATTTTACATATTGATGATATATGGCACAGTGCAGTGTTAATTTTAAGAAAATATTCTTTATTTACAGCAATTAAACTTAAAATATTACATGTTGAGATTGTGTTTGAATCCAGCATGGGTCCCAAGAAATCTAGAAAAGTGATTTCAATTCAGATGAAACAGGAAATTATTAAGAAACACGAAGAAGGCATTGGAACAAATGTGCTAAGCAAAGAATATGGCATGTCGACATCAACTGTGTCGACAATTCTTGCACAGAAAGACAAATCCAAGGAAGTGAAAGTGAGAGACAAATCTACCAGAGTGCTCAAAGGTAGAGCCCAAATTGCAGAAACAGAGGTGTTACTTCTCATGTGGATTAGGGAAAAACAGATGAAAGGTGATTCAGTTTCTACTGAATTTATTTGTGAAAGAACCAGGGAGATTTACGAACATTTAAAGACAGATCAACCTGGTTCTTCAGGCACAGACTTTGAAGATTTTAGGGCCAGCAAAGGCTGGTTCGAAAAATTTATGAAAAGAAGTGATATATTTAGTGTAGTTAGGCATGGTGAGGCTGGCAGTGCTGATAAGGAAGGGGCAGCAAAGTTTTTAGTGGAGTTTAAAGAACTGATGGATGAAGAAAATTATCTTCCACAGCAAGTGTTCAATGTGGACGAAACTGGGCTGTTTTGGAAAAAGATGCCCAAAAGAACATTCATCACCAGAGATGAAGCCTCTTTACCTGGGCATAAACCCATGAAAGACCGTCTCACTCTATTGCTTGGTGCCAATGCTTCGGGGGATTTCCGACTGAAGCCTATGCTTGTCTACCACTCTGAGAACCCCAGGGTGTTCAAGCAACAGAAAGTGGTAAGAGGACGGCTTGGAGTTTATTAGAAATCCAACCGTAAGGCATGGGTAACAAGACAGCTCTTTAATGAATGGGCTGTTGAGGTGCTTTGCCCTTCTGTGAAGAGCTACCTAACCACCAATAAACCTCCTCTAAAGGCTCTTCTCCTCATGGATAATGCCCCTGGTCATGACCCTCAACTTGCCAGAACTTTGGAGTCTCAATTTGACTGTCAAAGTGTTGTTTTTGCCTCCCAACACTACATCAATCATACAGCCAATGGACCAGAATGTGATCAGCAACTTCAAGAAGTTGTACATGAAGAAAATGTTCAGGAGGTGTCATCAGGCAACTTCCACTGATCCTCAACTAACACTGGCACAGTTCTGGAAGACACAATTTAACATCCTGGAGGCTGTAAAATTGATTGTGTCCTCATGGCAAGAAGTCTCCACTAGAACCCTCAATTCTTCATGGAAAGCACTGTGGCCATCAGTAGTCCATGATTCTGAGGGATTTCAGGATGAAACAGAGTTGCACCAGGAGATTGTGTCCATTGGGCCTTGAAGTGGAGGAGGATGATGTCGAAGAGCTTGTGATGTCTCATGAACAGGAACTTACTCCAGATGACTTGCAGCAACTGGATGAGATGTTAGAGGCTGACAGTGGTGAGGAGGAAACGTAAAGTGATGACCATATGTCAACTTCAGAGTTGAAAGATGTTGTTCACCACTGGGAGAAGTTCAGGAAACTGGCTTCAAGGCACCCAGATGTGGAAAAATCTAAACTACATTTGTGTTATGTTGAGGACACAGTGGTCTCCTTCTTTAAACATCAGTTAATGATGAAGAGGAGAGATGCCCCACAGACCAAAATTTACACTTTCTTCAGTGTAAAAGGCAGAGGGAACAAGATGCTAGCCCTCAGCCTTCCACTTCAAGGAGAGAGGATGTTCCTGGTGGAGAATCTGTCAGTCCAGAGGTTCCTGACATTTTCATGGAAGGTGACTCACCTTCCAAGAAGCAGTAAAATGCTTCTCCTCCACCTCCACTTCCTTCTCTTCTCCCTTCTCCTCCTCCACCTCCCACTTCAAATTCACATCAGCATCAGCATCCAAGAGCCTTCTACATAAACACCTCAAAGTAAGTGTACTTTACTACCTTTTTTGTTGACTTTAGGCAATTTTCGGTGAGCTGGAACCAATTACCCAAAAACCCATTGAAACAATGGTTTCGGTTAACAAATTTTTCGGTTAACGAGCAACCTTCTGGAACTAATTGTGCTCATTAACCGAGGGACCACTGCATTTAAAGTCGCGATATATCCCCACCCTTCTGTACTCTAGTATTGCGGTATATAAAATTCACCCCAATACTCTGAATACTGTAATATACACACATACAGTATACAGTACTCTCGATTTAACGGAATCCGATATAATGAAGTCTCGATTTAGCGAAAGGAATTTTTTCTGTTATTTTTCACTCGATTTAGTGAACTACAGGGTAGTTCGAGACTAATTACATTAATACACTCACACCTACAGAGACACCTCAGACTCATGATATGCACATAGAAACATTATTCATGGCTTACCTTAAACTAGAGGGTTTGGTGTTTGTTTTAAAATTTGTCTATAATTTCCAAACTATTTTCCAATTCATAGCTGCACTCTTTTGACTTTCTCCACCACACCACTTCCTTTCTGAGACTTCTGAGAGACTTTTGGCATGATTTCTAAGGACAGTAGTTAGTTCACAGAGATATAGACTGAAAGGTAGCAGTGAACAACACATGCAGTGATGGCAGGACACAGACTGAACGGATGTAAACAAACCCCACATGCCAAGCGACGCATTTGCCAAGTAATTTAACTGAATCAAGCTCAATTTAGTGAACTAGTTAGCTAAATCGAGCAAAAATAACGGAAATTCGATTTAGCAGAAATTTCAATTTAATGGAAAGGGGTGGCTCGAATTAGTTCGTTAAATCGAGAAAATACAATTATCATAAACTGTTTACCTCGCCACTTCCTTCTCAGGAAGCACCTATGTCAGCACAACACTCGAGTGGGCCAGTTCATCACAACACATCAAGCCTGATCTATTAAATTCCTCCACTGACTACTGGTTGGCTAACAGCCTCTCCATTCAAGGTGACACTTCCTAATTAAGACAAGCTTAGGAGGAAGTAACACTTCCAAGGAAGACAAATAAAAGAAGGTAACATCTCCTAGGTGAGACATATAACTTATAACCACTGAAAAGGGATGTGCCCCACTTAACTAAGGGTAGCCTCCTAGTGTTAATTAATACTCTTCTCTGGAAGGGATTCCCAAACCTCTTTTCAGATCTCACAAAGTGTACTTGGTGTAAATTGAATAAACCACAGCAAAGACTTAAGAAATGTTTACCTCAAGAACCTGTCACTTAAAGAGTTCCAAAACTTAACTCCAATAATTTGTGTTACAAAAGACACAATACTGCATACCGGTAACACTCTTAGTGCTGACAGTGAGAATAAAATCTGGTAATGAACCCCTACATCCCTTACTTAAATATTCAAGCTACATTTTAAGTACAGAATTGTAGCCCAATTTTTCTAACACCTGTAGTCCCCATAAAAAGCATCATTAGATTTTCTATTGCTACAATTTGAAATGCTAGATGAAATTCTTTGATATGATCCCCAGTGCATCATCATAAGCTGGTATGCCTGCTCGCCCTATCAGCAACGGCTAGAGACGGGTAGGATTGTGGGAGGAAGTCGTCCTTGTACGGCATATGGAATACTAGATACTGTACTTCAATATAACAAGTCCATTAAGCTATATTAATGCATGTATCATAGATGTAGAACCACCAACCATTCAGAAACAGGTCGTGTAACATGGCTCGGAAGGCCTCGAATCACATCAACCCCATGGCTGAAGATACTTGGGGGGACTGTACAAGTGAACATGTACAGTACAGTACTTCATGATACAGTACAGTAAATTGTTAGTTATTATCCATATATGACAAAAAACTCTGCACTTAAGAGATATTAGTTAATTTTTTACATAAAAAATTTTACTTGTTTTATTGATGAACATGGATGAATAAATTATTTATGAAATCGCAATTTCAGAGATATGCGTAACTTCATTTTTTTTTTACTCATTTACATGCACACACAATCTTACATAAAGAATGTGCAAAAAACAAACTTATCATAAAGTAAAAAAACATAAAAGAAAAAGACACTTTCTTCGTGTGTTAAGAGTTCACGCTAAGTAGGAGAGGGTGGAGTGAATATACAGTACTCTACTTAAATAAAAGCTGTGACCTCAAAGCTTCCACAACAATAACAATAAAAATATTACTAAATTAATTCTGCTCTAAGCAAGAACAAACCACTGAGTGCTAATCCATTCCCTTAGACAGATCAATGATGATATTCTTTTAATCACCAATGTGCATAGTACATAATGCCAAAGTGCACTTGCTGTTTCTGAAGTACAGTACAGTATTGTGTATAGTTCATCTGGCATCATAAATGTTAAAAGTCATTTGATACCATTATTCACTTACAGGTTTCCTTTTTTGATAATACTAGTGTACAAAATTGTAGATTAAACACTTATAATATTCAAAACTCGACTTAAAAATTACAAAACTCTTACATATATTTTATTGAGGCCAGCCCCCTTAATAAAATTACCCTGTAAAGAACCAAGGATAGGCAGTTGTAACCATCCCCCCAGTTCCTGGATAGATGCTTCCCCCTAAGGTCCTTCAGACTAAGATACTCAACCATCAAGTGTTTAATAGTCAAGGGGGCCAGGCAACCTTCACATACTGGCTGAGGCTACTGGGCCATCAGGCAGCTGTGTTTCAGCCTAGAGTGGCTATAAAAGGCAATACTGTACAGTACACAGTACTGTAGGTAACCCCAGACCACAATATAAATACAGTACAGTATGGGTATTTTGTAAAAATGAAGAATACCAGTAGCCTAATAATTCTGGATAAACCCTTACCTCTAGAATGGAAAGAACATTAATCACCTTTAACCAATCATTAATATATACTGTACAGTATACATATAAGCCTTTGAATTATAATACTGTATTTATATCAATCAACAGCCAAACAAATACTTTACCTCAAAGTTATACATCACACAGAAAGGCTACTAAATGTCACCAAGAGATATTCAAAGTTACAAAATGCAATGTTAACAAAACAAAACAAAACACTATCTGTACTGGTTTTCATAACTACAGTGCTGTACTGTATTCACAACATTCATTCACACAAAGTTATGAGAAGTTAATTTTCTGCATTGATGAGTTTTCCTCTACTTAACACTCAGTACAGAACAATTAAAAACACATGTATACAAAGCCACTCACGAGTGTTTATGCAATAAAGGATCAGATTCCATTTCGTATACAGTAATATAAAAAAGTGTTCACATTTAGAGTTATACTGTAGATGGAAAGCTGAGCTAAGAACTTGCACTACCTCTACACTCTGTGCCTCAGACCTTTATAACCAGTCATGATCATGTGGTCTATGTATGAGTTTGCAGCTACCAGTTTAACAATGAATTTTGTAGTATAAATTATACAAATTCATAAAAATAAGAACTTAGCAAAGGACATATTCATATCCAATTCTTCATTTTGTAAAATACAAAAGATGTAAAATGAATCTATACTGTACAGGTATTAGTATTATAAAGAGGATTAGTATTGTCAACATGGGCTCATATTACAGTTACTCCCTGAACTGCAGTCAAGGGGTTTCTCAGGGATATTTGTTTTGTTTTGTGAATGGTACTTGATACCCCAAGACCCCCTACCCATCACCACACAAAATAAATAAATAAATAAATATTATATATATATATATATATATATATATATATATATATATATATATATATATATATATATATATATATATATATATATATATATATATATATATATATATATATATATATATATATATACACACAATGCGCGTGATCCAGGTATATGCTGATAACCACAAGGAAAGAAGAAAACACGAAGTTCCCAAGCGCTTTCGTGTAATTCACATGTTCAGGAGCGAGTACTAGGGGGCAGTGAAATTTTGCTCAAAGCTGCACTCTTCAGGCATTGTTCCTTATACATATCTAAGACTCCATGCCAAATTTGAAGCTGATATGTCGAGGTTTAGTCTGCCGCATTTTCTACTGAAATTTTTAAATTTACCTACAGTACTAGCCAAACAGCCGCTGTGGCGGTGCAATGTTCTGTTCAGTGTTTATCAACTTTTTTTTCATATCTCTTATTTCATTTAAGTTGTCTTGTTGCAGATGAGTATGGTGCTATGTCTATATTGATTATCAGCCTTTTCTCATTTCATTTCTCAATGTTGTGTTACTGTACTGTAATGTAGGGGAGACCTGGGTAAGTTGCCGCTTGTGACCGATACTTGATTAGTGATTATGCTGGAGCTGCCATTGCTACTGCCACCTTAACTGACTATGGCATTATCACAAAGGATGACAAGAGTCAGGTTATTGGACCACATAAGCTGCGGGATGCGAGACAAAAATACCGATTTAAGAGGCAAGAAATTGAGATGGCTAGTTTAGATAATTTGACGTCACTCTATTTTGATGGTAAGAAGACCGCCACTCGTGTGATGATAAAGAATGAGAAGACCGAGAAATGGAGTTCGAGGATGATGGTGAAAGATCATTATGTCATCATGGTTGAGCCTGGCAATGAATATCTCACACATGTGACTCCCAAGACTGGACACGGAAAGCAGATTGCCAAAACTATTCACGAGTTTCTGGTGGAGAAAAATCTAACCCAGCAGCCCATTGTGTGTGTTGGTTGTGATGGAACCAATGTAAATGTAGGATCAGAAAATGGAGTCATTCATCATCTTGAAATGTTACTTGGTCACCCGCTCCATTATTTCATATGTCAGCTTCACGGAAATGAGCTGCCTTTCCGCGCAGTTTTTTATCACTATGATGGTAAACCAAGTGGTCCTGAGCATTGGCGTGGTCCCATTGGAAAGCAGATCAAGGAGTCTTTGTCTGAGCTTCCAGTTGTCGCCTTCCAGCCAGTCAGTTTCCCTGATTTCCCTGTGTTTAATGATGAAGTGGAGAAAGATCTGTCCTGGGATCAGAAATACCTGTATAGGATTTGTAAAGGAGTTATCACAGGTGTTGTTGAAGATGACTTGGCTGCTATTGAGCCAGGTCCTCCCTGTGTGTCAAGGTGGAACACCTTATGGAGTAGAATCCTCAGGCTGTATGTAGCAACATCAAGACCCAGCCATGAGTTGAAAAGAATTGTCATTACAATAATAAAGTTCAGTGCTCCAATGTGGTTTTACATCAAGATACACCCTTACGTAACACACGGCTCAAGGAACGTATTCCAGTCCCTGCTATATATGAAACACCTGAATAGTGAGGAGGAGACGATAGTGAAGAAGGCTGTCCAGAGAAATGCATACTTCGCCCACACAGATCAACTTCTTCTTGGTATGTGTGCAGATGAGGACATGACTGTTAGAGAAAAAGCTGTCTCAATGATAAGAAAAATTAGAGAGGAGAATCAGCAAAAGGAAGAATGCACTGGCAGATCTGAAGAGGAGGAGGAAGATTCTGATGCTGCTGTTGACGAGAATTTGTTAAACTATACTGATGAGGAGGGTAAAGATGGAGATGGGAATGAGGATGTGCCTCCTGTAGTCAACATGAGAAAGGTGGTGACTCCGAAACTAAAGTGGCAAGCAAAAAACTATCATTCCATGATTAACTGGAGGAATGAACTCAAGACTGAGCCTCCTTACATTGCTTCTCTGTCAAATCTACAGGTTAATGACATTCTTGAGACACCATTAGTGGTGCCCAAGTGGCCAAACAGCACTCAGGCGGTCGAGAGAGGCATAAAAGTGATGACTGAAGCTTGCACTGAAGTGACGGGATACGAATCGAGAGATGGATATATTAGGCAAAGATTATTGTCTAGGAAAATGATGCCAAGGTTCCGCACAAAAAAGAATTTCAATATGAACTTGTAATGATTTTCTATACGGTGTACCTGTAAAATAACATGTGAATTAAATCGATGTCACCCATGTAAAATTTATCATTATCCTGGAAAACATTAAATGACACCTAATTTTTGGTATACACTAAAAGTTGACAAAAAGTCGTTCGCGATGCGGCAGGGTAAGTATGCATGAAATGGCATGAAATTTTGCACAGGTGTTTGTTACAGCCATACAAACGATGCCTGAAAAGTGCAGCCTGCAACTCAAATAAAACAAACGATGCCTGAAAAATGCAGCCTGCAACTCAAATAAAAGTGTTTTTTCCCTGCCACCTACTGTACATTGTGCTTCCAATATCTTCCCAGGCAGTAGAATCTCCCTGTTTGGTAGCTGCCTAAAACTTTTAGTAATATTACTTTGATACAACATGATAAATTAGACAAACAATGAAAATAAACAAACAAAAGTTATTTACCAAGACCTCTCTCAGAACAGAGGGATGGAGGGGGAGGGGAGATAAGACAGCTATTTATAACCTGTCTTTGTGTAGGAAGTTGACCACACTAGAAATAATTCATTTAAAATTTATATTTTTTACATGACTGCGATTATAAAATATTGTGAATATATATATATATATATATATATATATATATATATATATATATATATATATATATATATATATAGTGGGGTATGCTATAACGAACGGATCCTACTACGAATATTCCTATAACGAACGGTTTTACCTATAAAACTGAGAATGCTATAACGAACGAAACTCCTACAACGAACATTATTTTATTTTTTTTTTTTTACTAATTTATTGTTTTTTTATTACAAGTATTAATGATATTGGTTATTTCAGGGGTTTAGATGCATATTTATGCACTTTTTTAAAATTTTTACAATTTTATATTATATTTTTCAGTGTTAAGTGGTTGTATTTGGGGGCCTGGAACAGATTAATCCTATAACGAACGAATGCTATAACGAACGAGGTTCTAGAACCAATTAGATTCGTTATAGCATACCCCACTGTATGTATGTGTGTATGTATATATATATATAATATATATATATATATATATATATATATATATATATATATATATATATATATATATATATATATATATATATATATATATATATATATATATATACGGGTATATATGCTGATAACCACAAGGAAAGAAGAAAACACGAAGTTCCCAAGCGCTTTCGTGTAATTCACATCTTCAGGGGTGAGTACAGACTAAGGAGAAGTACATAACAAGGTGTATATATACAGAGGAGGGTGAGATCAAGTGCACAATGGTCAGGTATTGGGTAATGACCCTACTAATCTTCAAAAAGCACCGCAGCAGTTGTAGTCAGGTCAGAGAGTAAGATGACCCAACCTTCTCGCCTGGTTACAAATCTTCTTAATTACGAAATTATCCAGTTTGTACATACCATTACTCAAATTCATGTTGACGGATTTGGTATGTTTAATGAGACTGGATTCTATAATGTTCCTACTGTCAATTGAATTACAAGGTAAAATTGAGGAGGCATTATCCCAGTCAATGCAATGCTTATTATCCCTCAAATGAACAAACAGAGCATTGGATTCCTGGCCTGTCCTAACACTATATTTATGTTGTTTAAGTCTAGTTACAAGATCTTTACCTGTCTGGCCTAAGTAAAACATATTACATTCCTTGCAAGGAACCTTATAAATGCAGCCACCTGTATTGTTGTGGGAGTTCTTGATTAACATTTGTTTAACAGTGCATGAGTTTTTAAATGCCACACTGACGTTCCAGGTTTTTAGTTGTAAAGGAATTTGAGAGAAATTTTTGTGAAATGGTAATACTAAGAGATTCTTATGGTCATGGGTGGGCTTGGGATCGGTTCTATAGAAAGATTTCTTAGTAATGTTAAGGCATTTGTCTATGAAAGATCTAGGGTACTTAAGGTTCAAGCCAATATTATAGATATACAGGTAGTTCTGCTATAACGCGATAATTGTGTTCTTGTAAAATATCGTGTTATAGAAAATCGCGTAATAGAAATAACAGGGCTTATGGAGAAAATAGGGTTAGGTGCAGATTACTCGAAATCGAAAAAATTTAGTAGTTAGCCTAACACAAAGGATAGCACAGTCTAAATAAATGTTACATTCATATCTAATAATGAAATCATACAGTAAATTTAACACTTTACCTTGAAAAAATATGAATGTAACTTGATGGGGGAGAAGGGTGATTTTGAGGTTGATAACATCAAGCTTCTCTTCAAGTGTTATATCCTTTCTTTTACGATAATCACCGGGAATTCTATCATCAGAATGCTTTTTGGAGATATTCTTCTTTACCATATTCACAGTTAATACCACAAAATTGGAGAAATAGTAAGCAAAAATCGCGTTATAGCAAACAAGCGATCGCGTTATACAAATATTGTTCCGAATTCATAAA